CATGCATTTTCTTGACTCAATCAATAACCCACCTCATAGAACTGATCAATACCTCACTGAATTTTCATACTAATTAAATTATTTAATTAAATGGGTTGTTGATGAAATTTAACCAACACATGGAACAGCTGAGGTGCCCCTGAGGAGGGGTTTGGGAGCTGAAGCTGTGTTCATCTAGCCGTCCAACTAGATATCGGTAACTTTTTGGAGAACAGAAGAAATCCTTGTTAGTTTTTGACTTATTTTACGCTTTATTTGTATGCATTCTGAAGTTAAATTGTGTTTTTTGCTCTGAGCACATTTACACTTACTATCCAGATAAACAGATTTAAACATGACCTTTGACTGCTTAAGAGTTTTGCACAGTATTGTTATAAATAAGGTTTTTAACGCATGATCTGAACAATGCTAATATAGTTAAAATGATTACAGTTTGTACTGTAGGGATGGATTGAAATGTTTAGATTATATTTACCACTAAACGGGTTTTTTTGTCGATGTGTGTGGACCAGTGACAGGTTTTAGTTTTTCTAATCATGTGTTGCGCCGAATATTTTATTGAATATCAGGCTGATTGGACTCACAGTACAGGTGCCTTTTATTACTGACCGAGATAAAGGGCTTGTTCCTTGCTGCCTTCATATCTCTGCGCACTAACAGTCAGCGTCAGGGCCGGGTGCTTTTCTTGGCCGCCGGGTCCGCAGGGCCGCACTAGCTACCTCCATTTAAAGTTCCGTGTTGCGTATCACGGTGATGGAATTCTCTGCTCAGTTCTATTAGCCTGTAGCATAATGTTGAAGCTGAAATGACTTAGCCAGCTGTAAATAGAGCAGGCACCTGCCCAAAAGCCAGCTAGTCAGTATCACTGCTCATCACTGGGGAGTGACTAATGCTGTGCCACACAGGGCGCACATTTATTCTGGTGCATGATTTGGCCTAAAATAAAAATATAATGGATTCCCAGCTGAGGTGCGGGCAGTAGGCAGTTATTGCAAAATGTATTCTATGCAGGTTAAGAAATCAGAAACAAACTGATAGTAAAAGCACTTTTTGCAGAAAAATGGCCAGACATAGGTATATTTAGCTTGGGTGCAGTACTGGATAACAAGATCCCACCTCCTTTTTCCGTTTTATTTTTCCAGTTCTTTTGTACTAGAGGAATGAGTTTATAGTAAGTTTTTAGTAATGGAAATCAGAACAGCAATCAGTGCCGGTCACTGTCAGGTGACCTCCAGAGAGCAGCTGTTCTCTCCCAGCTTCTGGCACATGCTCATGACACAACAGTATAGATTTCGGGTCACATGATCAGTACAAACTGCTCCACGTCACTGCTGCAGGATGTGTTGTGTGCGGTATGAGCTGTGGGAGAGAAATAGCCTTTCAGTTCATGGGCCTGGTGCAGGTACTGGATCAGGGCGGGTATTCAAAACATCTGTACTGCGGCCTGTCGAGGTAGGTCATGCCTTGCAGAGAAGAGCAGAGAAGCCAAAGTCACTCTGTAAATTG